TATTCATGTCATGGAAGATTTTTCTTTCCCCCTCAACTATAATAGACATTTTTGCTGGGTATAGTATTCTGGGCTGGAATCTATTGTCATGTGGAACTGGAGATACCTTGGTCCTGGCTCTTCTGGCTTTCATAGTTTGCAATGATAAGTCAGCTGTAATTCTGGTGGGCTTTCCTTTGTATGTGACTTCTTTTTCTTTTGCTGCTTTCAGTATTCTCTCTTGGTTCTGAACTATTAGTGTTTTTACTATGATATGTTGTGGAATGTTTCTTTTCTGATCCTGTCTATTTGGTGTTCTGAACTAGGTCTTGGAAAGTTAGTTATGTAATGTATATATAGAAGAATATTTAGTACTAAGAATGTGATGTTAATATAACAATTTTTTTTATTTTATTATTTTTATTTAATGTGTATGCATGTATTGCCTGGATGTGTATAAGTGCACCCATGTTCTGCAAGAACAGAAGAGGCTGTCAGATCCCCTGGAACTGGAGCCATGGACAGTTGTCAGCTGCCACCTGGGTGCTGGGATATGAACCCGGGTCTTCTGCAAGAACAACCAGTATTCTTAACTGCCGAGCCATGTCTCCAGCCCTGGACTTGAAGGAATTTTTAATTAAGTCTAAACATCAGTCCTTCACTCACTAAGTGTACTGGAAATATTTTCTTGTAATTACATGTCTTGCCTTCTCTGTCTCTTAAGGCTGTGTTTTCACACTGAAAGATTTTTAATTAAATATTTTTATTTTTTTGAAAAATTTTATTACATTTAGTATGTGTGTTGTGTGTTTATGTCTGTATCTGTGTATGTGTGTGGGCATGTACTGGCACATGTGGAGGTCAGAGGACAACTTGCAGGAGTAATTTCTAACCTCCCACCATGTGGATCCCAGGGATTTGAACTCAAGTTATCAGCCTTTATAGCAAGATCCTTTACCCACTGAGTCATCTCCCAACCTATTTTTAAAAAATTTTAATGTAGTCTAATTTATTGATCTTTTCCATGGTGATTGTGATGTTCACAACACAACTGGTATAAGATGAGTACTCAGCATCTACAAAGATCTTTTATGAATCAATAATAAAGAAAAGACAGTTCAAATATGGGCAAAAGATATGAAAAGGTATTTCACAAGAAAGGAAAAATAAATGGGCAAGAATCATAAACAGGTATTAAATCCCATTGAATGGCAGGGAAATCTCAGGTTTTGGAGGGAACTGATGGCTTCAGATCAGCTCTTCGGGAGCACCCACAGAAGCCCAATTCAGGTTCCAGCCAGGTACATACAGGCTTCCTTCACCATGTGGGGGCAGGATATGGATGCTCTCAGGCAGTCCCCTGCGTTCTCAGCCCCTATGCCAGATGGAGGCCAGAACTCTGCACTCTCTGGAGGTCTGCTGAGATCAGAGCCACTACACCAATTTAGGTTGAAATCCAGCCTCTCAGGCTGTCTGCTAGGATCTCAGCCTTAGACCCTGCGTTCTCAGCCCCTATGCCAGATGGAGGCCAGAACTCTGCACTCTCTTGGAGGTCTGCTGAGATCAGAGCCACTATACCAATTTAGGTTGAAATCCAGTCTCTCAGGCTGTCTGCTAGGATCTCAGCCTTAGCCTTACCAAAACTAGTTTATTAACTTCTAAATTGTACAGTGGCAATCATCCCTAAAGAACTTAGCATAAAGATGGTTAGCTTTCTAAATTCAGAAAGTTCTGTAGACGAGCTGGAATAAGAAGTGAAAATATTCCATTGGGGAGCATATTCCTGGCCAGCAGCTGAGTTCTGATGGTCATTCTGCACAGATGTATGAGTTCACATGGATCTTTGTATCTTATTGAAGGAATGTAGTCCAACCAATTTTGAATAATTGGATGTCTTCCTAAACTCAGCTGTGTCTGAAGAAGAGCGAAAGGGGAAATTCTTTTGTTTTTTTAGACAGCCTCATCATGTAGCACTGGCTGGCCTAGAACTTTCTGTATAGACCAGGCTGAGCTTGCACTCAGAGAAATCCACCTGTCTCGAGGACCCAACAAGTGCAGAGTTAACACACAAGATCCCAGTGGAGACCTGTCCACATCAAGGTGTTTCAAAGTGTAGGAAGCGATCTTTTTTTTTTTTTTAACTTTTACAAAAACTTTATTGAGAATTTCATACATGCATATAAGGTTTTGTTCAAATCCATGCCCACTTCCTCCCTTCCAACATTCCCCCCTCTGAAGAGGTAACCCTAAAATCTTTTTTTTTTCTTCTTTCATTTATTTATTTTTATGGGGCTTTTGGGTATGCTAACATCCCCCCCCAGGAGGTAACCATAAAATCTTTTAAGGATTAGATACAAGCTCCCAAATACTTTTGACATTTTTGGCCTTTGAAACAGTATGTTGCTAACAGTCCCAAGGATATTTTGACTTTTAGCAAAGAAACTGGCTACTTTTCTTTGGGGCCTTTTTACACCAATTGCCTAGGCAGTTCCTACCTCCTATTCTTATCACGCCATCCTCTGAGGGGGTTACCCAAATTGCTAATAGGGAATAGGGATGCAGACTGCTCTGCAGGAAGCCATCTTTTTAAAGATTCAATTCTAGAGGCCAAATGCCAGTAGACTGATGTAGAAGGGTTTACTATATTACAGAGACATTTACCCTGGAGTCCACATAAAGGTGGAAGGAGAGAACCAACTCCACAAAATTGTCCTCTGACTTCCACAAGCACATCATGGCACACACACAATAATTAAACATGTAACTTACACTGCCCAGACTTCTTGACACCTGGCTATATGAGTACGCCTTTGTTGTTTATTCTGTCATCAAAGGTGTAACTACTTAAGCAAAGTTACAGCTCTTTGGGGTTTATTTCTAAAGTCACACCTTTTAAGGTCAGCGGTGCTCACCTGGCTGGTTTCAATGCTTAGGGATAACTTCCCATTAAGCACATTAACTTCTTTCTACTGATTGCCATGATACAACCTGACAGTGTAATACTGTAATTCGTAGTTCATTTTGAAGACTGAACATTATGTATGTTTGATATGTGGGTAGCTTTTTCTGTGCCTTGGTTTGTTTCAAAATCCTTATCAAGGAGAAGGTCTCCACATTGCTGAGAGATCTTTTCAGTTGAATAACGATTTTAAGCCTTTCTATTTCTATAATGCTTGAAATTGCTTTGGGATCATGAATGGAAAAATCCATTTCTTGGTATGTGATAGTGTGTGCGGGGGGAAATGGAACTGTCCTTTTGAAATATTCTGTTGAAAAGACAAGCTATGAAAATTTTAACTTACTTTATTCTTGAAAGATAGATATCTTAATAGAAACGTGTTATTGGAATATAATATTTTACATCTACTTAATAACACAGATATAAACTGTAAGTCTAGCTTAAGATTCATGTTAACAGAATCAACGTTTTGAAGGTCTAATTTTTTAGCTGATTTGGATTTTGCCTCATTTTTAATTAATGAGCAGGTCTATGGTGGTTAATTTGTTGTTGGAGGTGATATATAGATTACAGTTTCTCTTCATGTTTTTGCCTTCATGGCTGTATCCCTACATTCACCAGTATTGATCCCAACCCCAGGGAGTAATGCTTTGCTCACCTCCATCTCCCTGACTGAGACGGAAGCTGGAGCAGAGCCTCAGGCGGGTCTTGGCACCTTCTTGGATGCTGAGTAATTCATGATCTACCATTATTCTCACTCTTGAAGGGTAGAGTAGTATTGTTAGTACAATGTTGGTAGGACTTTTTTCTCTTTCTAAGATACCGTACTGCAGGAGAATGTTTAAGATTTTCGACTGTCTTGTCTGAGCCACATAGAGCAGAGGTGTGATGCCACTCAGTGGGCTTGGGCAGTACACTGGTGTGAAGGCTCTGCAAGCACATCAAGACATGTTATGAACACTGAACAGTAATGGGAAAACTATAGTTTTAATACCGACTGCTTAGCTGTGCATACAGTGTGACACATTTATACCCAATACATCTTAAAAGGAGTTTGACACTGTAAATCTAGACGACACTGAAGGGCAAAAGACAGTTACTACACCATGAAACCTCCCTTTACATTTCTGAAAATAAGGGGCTGGAGTGGTGCCTTATAGCAGGTAAGTGCGTTTGCTACTCTGCCAGAGGACTTGAGTTTGGTTCCCAGGACCTACTCAGGCCACCCAGAGCCACCTGTAACTTTAGCTCAGCTGATCCAGCATCCTCTTCTGGCCTCTGCAGGCACACACACACACGTGGCATGCAATCATTCAAATGCATACACATATACATAAATTAAATGCTAAAAATTGTAAAATTAAGCACAAAATTTATAGTGTGTGCGAAGTGTTCACTTTCAGTTATAAGCAGTTCTGCTTCTCATCTGAGAAGTCCACACTCGTTAGGAGTTCTAAAACTCATAAAGCTCTAGAAAATCCAGAATGGAAATAGAGGGAAATCTTTTTCATTTCACTTTCATATCATCTTTTGTTGTTGTTTTGAGACAGGTTTCCCAGCTGCCCTGGAACTTGCTATGTAGACCAGGTTGACCTCCATCTCACAGAGATCTTCCTGGCTCTGTGTCCCAAGCGCTGGGTTCAAAGGCGTGACCCACTACGTCCAGCCTTGGTTTTGTTCTTAATCATATATTAGACATGAAGTGAGAGTGGAGATCAAATAAAAAACAAGTGCAACTACCTTAATTCTGTTTCCCCTTTAATAAGACATATGTGTTCATGGGCATAAGAACCGTATCAGGTCCCTCAAGGATAGACTTTTACTTTTCTCCAAGAGTAAAGTTTAGGGATGGAGAGAGCTCAGTCAGTAAAGTGCTTGCTGTGCAATCTGAGGATCTGAGTTCAAGCTTCGAGAACAACGTATAAAAAGGAAAAGCTAGTGTCACATGTTTTGTTTTATCAGTGCTGGGGAGGAGACAGGAGAAACCCTGGGCTCATCTTCCGGCCAGCCAGCCTCGCCTACTTGATGAGCTCCAGGCTCAGTAAGAGACCCTTCCTCAAACACTCAAGTTTGTTCTCTGACCTACATGTGTGCGTGCATGTGCACACACATATACACTCTTTTTAAAACTGTTTTAGAATCTCTAGCCTGGTCTATATTGCAAGACCTGTTTTTCGTTATTTTGTTTTGTTTTATCTATATCTTTTGTTTTGTCTTTTCTTGGAGTGTCACATGGTCGCTAGATGTCAGTATTTCAACTCGCTATGACAGAACTGAGTTTTAATTTTTCTAATAGCACACAGTATTTGAAATTGTTTTGTTTAATAGACTTTTAAGCTCTTTACTGAGATGGTTCCTATAAATGTAGGAAAAACTTGGTGGTGTCTCTGACCACAAGAAATTTTATACTAATAAGTGCGTAATTTAGCCACGTAACATGACTTTAGATTAAGCAAAGAGAAATTTGAATAGCGAACCGTGTCTCGCAAATTCTTTTGACTGGTCTAATAAAATATTAATATAGTCTGCAAAAGGCACACAAAGTAGTAATATGAGTTCCAGAAAGCTCTGCCAGGCAAGTAAAGCAGAACTTCAGGATTAGGTGTATTGGGCCAGTGAGATGATGGCTCAGTGCGTAGACACCTGCCACTAAGCCAGATCACTAGTATTTGAGCCCCAGAACCCACATAACGGAAGGAGAAAACTGACTCCCACAAGTTGTTCTCTGACCTCCACACCTGCACGGTAGCACGCTTGCACTCACAGACAAAATAAAGTACTTTTCACAAGTTCTTCCAAGGATGACATGTATTTAATCATGTGACCTGCCACATGGGGCAGACTTGAGCCTCTGAGGTTCTGAATTTCAGTTCCTAGCAGCTGTGTGATGGAGTCAAGTGCTAGTTCCTCATTAGTGTCTGTACTGGTTTGATTATCCTTTCACTGACAAGTTTATCATGTTTTCAGCATGTCTAGAGTGTACTGAGAAGTAGTCCCAGACATGAAAGATGCAAACTTCACTTACCGTCAGGGACAACAGACAAGTAATTCGGTACAGTAAACACAGGGTGAGCATCACTGAGACAGAAGCTTGCTTCAGGTACTAATAGTCTTGAGAAGTGGCATTTAACTCTCCCTGAACAGCATTTCCTGTAGGTTAGATAGGAAGGGAGACTGAAAGATGAGCGGGTGTTTTCCAGTGAAAAGGTTAGAATGTTGTAGGCACACGCATACCATGGCGTTGGATAATTAATACACTAAGGCGTGGGGGCATATCTGGTTGGAGTGGATTTGAGGGTAGATGTATAGAGCCCTCTCACCAGGGAGACTCCAGAAAATCACTAGCCCAGTTATCTCTGAAGCTTCACTGAGCTTTAAAATGCCAGAACTTTGTCAGTTAAAGAAACAGTGTGCTATGGTGCAAAGCTGGTCGTATCTTAATTCTGCCACTGGCACTGTGTGTGTGTGTGTGTGTGTGTATACTTGCATATGTATGTTTGTGTATGTTCATGTGTATGTATGATTTTCTTGTGTATATGTACATCTGTATATTTGTCTATGTGTTCTCGTTCTATCCAGAAATGGTCAGTATTGCCTGCACAGTTTTCACAAGTACTTCCCATATGCCTCAACAGTTGAGCTCTAGGTGCTTCCTGTGGATCACCTGTCACGGCTTCCAGCTTCCCAAACCACCCTTGTACTGAGGTTTTTGCCCTTCTCTGCTCTGTGATGTTCTCTCCACTTTCTGATCTGAGACAAGTCTGGCCCATCTTAGCAGGCTGCCCAGCAGGCTCTTCTGTGAAGACTTCCTTGGTTACCTGGAATGTTCTCGTCTCAGGAGCCTTGTACCTTCGTCCTATCACTTTGGAAAACTTGCTTAGCAGATTTAAACTTTCATTTTATCTTCACAGTAAATGGCTGTGCAAAAAGGGAACTTTTAAAAACATGTATGTGTGTGCAAGTGTACATGTGCCACAGTTCATGTGTGGAGATCAGAGGACCGCTTATAGTTCTCTTAACATTACATGACCTCCCGGGCCTTTGCTGTCTGGAGAGTCCAAGGGAAATAATTTTTGTCTTTTTGGTTCATACTGTATCTCAGTGCTTATGATATACTGAGTCCGTGGAGGACACTCATACATTTGCTAATTGGAATCTGCTTTCACTTCTGACAAGGTTTTGGTGATATAGACTCATTTCAACTTTTAAAAGGCAACGTAATTCATTTCTCTAGCTAGGTTTTTAAAAATGTTTTTCACATCTAATTATTATTATTTTAATCATTTTTTAAAATTTTTAATAACTACATGGATTAGAGGAAGCATTTCACTACAGATGTAACAAATTCAGTAACATATGCCAGATCAAGAGTACATCTCTTTCACAAGTGGGTACAAGTTTCTAGGTTCACAGTTGAATTAATACAGTTATACAATATTGAACTTACTATAAGCCCTGTAAGACATAAAATTCAATGAGTTTTTAACCTTTAAAAAAGATCTCCATTTCATCTGGCATTCAGGAAATAGGACAGAGTGCACCATAAGTGGCCACTGTTAAGATGTGGTTGGTTCAGAGACATTAAAATTGGCATTACTTCTAAGAGATATTGAGTGAATACTGAAAAATGTTGAAAACATGAGTAAAACTCAAATAGGTTTAAAATTAGATTTAAACATCTAATCTCTATCCACATGACATGTGATTAATTCTTGACTTTAAAGAGTATGGAACTGTAAACCAAAATTTGCTTAATCTGTCCTGACAGTTAATTACAACAGTACTTAACATGGGTGGAGGGAGACAAGCACAGCAAGGATCAGTTTTAAAATGTGAGGTTAATGAACTGAATCCTCTGTATATAAAAGCTTGTCATATACATTTTCAAAGCAGAGAATAATGCTTTTTGTCTAGACACACAGAGGATGACCGCCTTGCAGCCGTAAATATTTCTAGTTTTTCTACACAACCTTTTGTTTCTGGCTGAAAATTTTTAATAGACATTTCTTCATAATAACTTGATCTCTGCTATCTAACACACTAGACTTCCTTTTTGCACTGTCGACCAGCCTCAAGGTAGCCACCTAGCTCTTCGCTGATTCTGCTCAGCCCTCCCGTCTCCTCCACTGCAGTGTCTAACACGGTGTGCACGGTCTCGCCTCTGGCTAATTTTGATGTGACCATTCTCAGGCACTTTCATCCATGGCCATAACTTCAGCTGCTTTTCATTTATTCCAACAAATAGTGAATGCACACTAACTGCCGCTCAGTTTTAGGTACTTGGGATGTAAGACTGAACAAAATTAGACCCTTAGGTTATAGGAAGTGGTGACTAACCACACAGGATGACTGCAGCAAGCAAGCAGATTTTACAGTGTCAGGTGACAAATGCCATGGAGAACAGATAGAGAAGAGCGGAATGAGAAGTACAGGCATCCTGGGGGCACGGGGATGAAGACCGTTACTGGAAGGACATCTGGACACAGCTTAGGAGACACAGAGCCTCGCTTGTCAGTGTGTAAGGACCCCGAGGCAGAGGATTGCCATGGAGTAGGGAGCCGTAGAGTGGGGAAGGGTAAGGAGTCAGTGTGGCTGACAGGGTGAGCCCGAGGACAGAGGAAGTGGTGCCACATCTCGAAGAGCCTAATGATCACCATGAGAAAGTCACTTTTTGCTCCAAATAGAACGGATATGCCATGAGAGGTCTGGGGTAAAGAGCAATGTGGCTTGCCCTCTGTTGAGTTGTTACAGAGCAGGAGGAAGAAAGCCACTGAGCTGTGGTGCAGGCATCCGTAGTCCACCATCGCAGGAAGACAAGCTATAAGATTCCCTCACAGATAGCTGTGGGAATAAAGAAAAGCATCAGGGATGGCACGACCTACAGAACCAACTACTGCAGCCTCCACCCCTTGGGCAGTTCAAACTCAAAT